TCTCCTCTTCTCCTCCTCCTCCTCCTCCTCCTCCTTTTCTCCTCTTCTCCTCATCCACCTATTTTCCTCTGCCTCCTCATCCACCTATTTTCCTCCTCTTCCTCTTCTCCTCCTCCTCTTATTATTTTTTTTTTCCTCTCCTTCTCCTCCTCTCCTCCTCGCTCTGCTCTGCTGCTATCCTCCTCCTCCTCTCCTCCTCCTCCTTCCTCCCTCCTCCTCTCCTCCTCCTCTCCTCCTCCTCCCTCCTCCTCCTCCTCTTCTTCTCCTTTTTCTTCTTCTCCTCTCCTCCTCTTCTCTCCTTTCTTCTTCTCCTCTTCTTCTCTCCTTTTCTTCTTTCTCCTCCTTCTCCTTCCCTCTCCTCCTCCTCCTCCTCCTCCTCCTCCTCCTCTCCTCCTCCTCTTTTTCTTTTTTCTTCTCCTCCTCCTCTCCTCCTTCTTCCTTTTCTCCTCATCCTCATCCTCTTGTTATTATTATCATTATTATTATTTTGCTCTTTTTTCCTCCTCCCTCCTCCTCCTCCTCCTCCTCCTCCTCCTCCTCCTCCTCTTCTCCTCCTCTTCCTTTCTCCTCCTCATCCTCTTGTTATTATTATTTTTATATTATTATTATTATTATTATTATTATATTATTATTATTATTTATTATTTGCTCTTTTTCTCCTCCTCCTCCTCTCCTCCTCCTCGCCTCTTCTTCTTCTTCTTCTTCTTCTTTCTTCTTCTTCTCTTCTTTTCCTCTTCTTCTTCTTCTTCTTCTTTCCTTTCTTCCTCCTCTCCCCTCCTCTTCTTCTCCTCCTCCTGCACCTCCTCCTCCTCCTTTTCCTCTCCTTTTCTTCTTCTTTTTCTCCTCCTCCTCCTCCTCTTCCTCTTCTTTTTCTTCTTCTTTTTCTCCTCCTCCTCCTTCTTCTCTTCTTCTTCTTCTTCTCCTCCTTCTCTTCCTCCTCTTCTTCTCCTCCTCCTTTCTTCTGCTCTCCTCTTCTTTCTGCTCCTCCTTCTTCTCCTCCTCCTCTTTCTTCTCCTCCTCTCTCTTCTTCTCCTCCTCCTCCTTTCTTCTTCTCCTCCTCTTCTTCTCCTCCTTCTCTTCTTCTCCTCCTCCTTCTTCTCTTCTTCTCTCTCTTCTTCTTCTTATCCTTCTTCTTTCTTCTTCTCCTTTCTTCTTTCTTCTTTTCTTCTCTTCTTCTTCTTCTTCTTCTTCTTCTTCTTCTTCTTTCTTCTTCTTTTCTTCTTCTTCTTCTTCTTCTTCTTCTTTCTTCTTCTTCTTCTTCTTCTTCTTTCTTCTTCTTCTTCTTCTCCTCCTCCTCCTCCTCCTCCTCCTCCTCCTCTCCTCCTCCTCCTCCTCCTCTCTTCCTCTTCTTTTTCTTCTCTTTTCTCCTCCTTCTTCTTCTCTTTCTTCTTCTTCTTCTTCTTCTTTCTTCTTCTTCTTCTTCTTCTCTTCTTCTTCTTCTTCTTCTTCTTCTTCTTCTTCTTCTTCTTCTTCTTCTTCTTCTTCTTCTTCTTCTCTTCTTCTCTTCTTCTTCTTCTTCTTCTTCTTCATACACTTCTTTTTTCTTCTTTTCTTCTTCATACACTTCTGCTTGCCTTTTCTAGTATATCCAAGCCAAATGTTACATTGTTTATCATTATATCTGTTAAATGTTTCTTTTTTCAGGCTGGATCCTGGGAAGAACATTTTGAAACATGGGAACGATTACTTGTCCTGTATGTGGGATCCATTGCAATGTTTTTCATTGGCAAGAACCTGAAGAGACGGTGAGAGATTATTCTTAAGGGTTACACTTATAACATACTGATGTTTTCACCTTCAAGATTCTGATTGAATAACCATGCCAAATCAAAAGTTCTCCCTTGCAAGGAAGTTTGTGACATGAAACCAAATCAATCAATTATATGATTATGATTGTTATAGTTGTTATTGTTGTTCTTGCTGCTATAACTAATATTACTTTTATCATTATTATTATTGTTGTTGTTGTTATTGTTATTATTATTGTTATGATTATGATTACTATTATCATTAATTACTATTTTTATTATTACCATTTTTTTCTAATAATTATTTTTATTGTTATTGTTATTATTATTGCTATTACTATTACTATTACAATTAAGCCTTCCATTACAAGTACTATTAATGTTAGATATCGATATTTGATCATTTCTATTATGGCTTATTATATATTAATTATATGTATTTATTATCATTACCAACATTGTAAGTAAATACTATTTCTTTTTATCATGTTTTTGCTATGAAGTAAATGACTGCCCTTCAATTTAATGCTGTCCAACCAATATTTACCTATAATTCCCAATATTGTAAAGTCTTAAAAGCCAAATGGTAGACACTGTAGAAATGAAAGGCTGTAAATTTCTAAATCATAGGAAAGCCAAGAGATTTTCAGGAATTTTCTTCTTGTGCACTTTAGATTTTTCCCCTTCTTTCTCTCTCTTATTGATTATTATTGTTTAACTGATTATTTTATTTTATTGCAGGCACCAGATTAAAGATGATGTTAGAGCATCATTTTATGATGATGTCAATGTGTGGCTCAAGGCTTTAAAGAAGAAGGGAACGAAATTCATGGGCGGAGACGAGCCAAATCTATCAGACCTGACTGTGTTTGGTGTTCTGACTGCTGTCGAAGGATGCGACGCATTCCAAGACGTTAAAAGTAACACCAAAATAACACCATGGTTTGAGCAAATGAAGGAGGTTGTGTCTCAGCATGGAGGAGCCAAGTTAACCATGGAGAGAGGCAATTTGTTACAAAACTAAAAGATGTCTAGGCTTACAAAAATGTCAGTATCAAGGAGTTCCCAAAATTCTTAGTGAAATTCTTGTAAATTCAGGGTTCTTATTAAGTGGAGCAGTTTTGGGTTTGGTAAAATCTTGCTAAATTGATTTTGGTGTAGACATTTGAAAGTATTGATAGTGCAACTGCCTAATTGTGGGATTGGAAATTTATCAGCATTAATTTTTCTTTTAGACTATCGATTCAGCTTCATCTACAGTCAATTCGAAAATATAATTATTTACAATATTTCAGAGAATTAACTACAAGTTGTTACACTTTCCTATTTCTCCTTAAAAATTTCTGTGTACCCAGATCTACATAATCTCTAACAGTTTAAATGTTATTTTGAAAACAGATTTTGCTAGCAACCATGTATGATTTGTACAGTGTATCATATTGGGATGTTGTAAATATAAGAATAATATTTATAAATTGTTCTTCTTAATAATCCTCTGCTTAGAACATTAAGCATTTGAGAAGTTAAGTTGACAAGCACTAAACCTTTAAGGGTGCTTCAAATTTCTCAACATTTTCACAAGCATACAAAGTGCATGCCATGGGGAGGGGGTTAACCTTCTCACACACTTTTTAGATTCCATGAAAATGCTGATGTCAGGTTGTATTGAGTACTTAGTATCTGTGGCTGAATACCAATGTCTATAAGTGTTATTAAGACCTTGGCTGAATACAGATTTCTCAATCTAGCCTTGCCTTCATTAATGATTTTATAAACATTCAACAATTAATTTTCGTTCATAAAGAAGTGTGAATCACGTATCAAAAAATATCACAAACCCTATTAGATTTTAATAGGTTCAATTGTGTATAGAGGAAAGAATGTTTTTTTTTGCACTATTTAGAGATGAGTAATCTTTCCTTTGTAAGTATTGTATAGTGAAAGTCTGTCCAAATGATCCAGCTGACACAGGTGAACAGTTTGCTTACTTATAGGGTATCCACTGAGCACACAAGCAAACCAATGAAGTACCTGTACTGATTGTTGTTCAAAATCACCAGACACTGACTAGGGTTTGACCATTTATTAAGTATTAAAGTTTTATTATGATTCTAGCCTTCCTTTCAGTGTAATGCTAATTATTTCTTCCCTTCCTGCAATCATCACTAATAATTCTTTTAAAAAGGTTATTCAAGAAGAGAGAAAAACAAAAACGAAGCATTTGGTTGTGTCTTGTGTGTGGGCTATAAATGGTTAATGGTTGAAACAAATAGATGTGCTAGATATCTAAGGTCATATATCACTATGGTGAAATATTGAGGTGAAAAGGGTAAATGAGTTAACAATTAGTATAAAGAGTGTTGAATATTAAAGGTTATAGTGTTATAGGGTAGTATGATAGGGAAAAGGGTAATGAAGGGGTGCAAGTGATGTAAGTCAACATTAATAAAGGGTATAGGGCGATTGGATGGAATGGGGATGTATCTGTTGTTGGGGAACATTGCTTTAAGGTAAAACTGGTAAAAGAGCTGTTATGAAATACTCAACGGATAATACGGATAAAGATGACTGTTGGAGAAGTGTCAGGAAAAGAGTCTAGGGGATGAAATAAAGGGACTGAGGAAAGAGGTGAAGTATCAGGAAGAGCGTCAGGAGGGGAGGTATCCAGAGGAGGACACTGTTGGGACAGAAGGGATTTACACGAGTATCCAGGTGGGAGGGAAAGGATAATGGAGAACTAAAAAGAAATGGTGTACATGAAGAAGGAGAGGATGGGGTTTGTTGGGAAAAAGTAGGAGGAAGAGGGGTAGGGGGAATTTGCAGGGGAGGAGGATGGATATCAGCAAATACTTTGAATGTAAAAGGACTATGAATAAAGGGATTGGAGGGTGGATGAGGGAGCGGAACATTTTCTTGGGTCATGTCTAGGATTTTTTGGATGTTTCTGGAGGGGATTTGGGTAGGGAGGTCTGAGAAATAAAGGATCTCTTGTGAGGAGAAGGGATGGATATTCGAGGAGCAGAGAAAAAGGAGGGTGTAGGAAAGGGTGTGGATGGTGAAAATGGTAGGACCCATAAAGTGAGGGGAAGGTAGGTACTGGAGTATCTGAATTTAGAATGGAAAAGGGATTTGACCACGGAATAGAGAGAGTAGAGGTAGGATGGTTCAGGGTAGAGATTCAGAAACATCTGGTGGAGATGGGGGAGGGGCAGAGGACTGTTTTAGAATAGGTATAGAGAGAAAATCCTCGTTATTATGCTTCCTGTCTAGCCTCACATATAGTGAAGCCTAGACAGGAGAACTGCTACCTTACATTCGAGCTTATAGACAGGGCAGCTCCTATAAAATACATTATGGGAGTCACCACAGTTGGCCAATGTATGTGACTGACCAGGTTGGTTACATAGAGGGCAGCGGGCTGTAGAGCGACAGTGTTTGGCTGGGTGGCAAAAGACCAACATTTCTGACATTAACGGGGAAGGGGTCGATGTGGTCGGACATGATAGGACAATCCACCAATATAAACTTCATGAGGAAGGTCATGTTTACGGAAGCTAATCTTGGCAATATTGATATGAGACTTATGCTGGCCTCTGGGAGGAATAGTTTAGCACTGTAACGCTAATGCATCTGACCAGTTCTTGTCATATATGGCACAACAAGTTGGCGGATAGAAACAGTTCCAATACAAGTATTAAGCACGAGCTTGGGATTCTGATGTAACTGTGGCAAGGCGTGAACGATCGAAGTGACTGCGAAAGGTAACTTTGCCTTGTTGTTTCTGGAGACACTGTTGAAAGAGATGGGTATTCCCAGATTTGGGGACTGTAGGGGGTTTGTGTTGGAGGTTGGGGTTTTCAACGTTTGCGTGAGAATAGAATAGAAACGGATTTGGTAGTGGAGAAACGAAAGCCATGATTAGTGGTCCAGGAAGATGCTGATGATATTGCTGACTGAAGTTGTTGGAGAGTATGTATAGATGGACCACAGGAATAGACGATTAAGTCATCAACGTATATTGATGACGCCTTCAATCTGAGGATAAGAGGATGGTGTGGAAGAAACAATTTTGACTTGAAAGGTGCATTTGGAAAGGAAGGATTTTATAAAGACCCATGTTTCTCGCTTATGCCTAGAGAGGACAATTATTGGAGGATATGATACCGCCATGTGGTAACATATGCTTTCTCTAGGTCGAAGAATATAGCTAAAATGGATTCATGGGGTTCAAATGCGAATGTTATATAAGTCTCAAAATGAGCAAGGGGGGCTGCTGTGCTTCTGGCACGACGAAATCCAAACTGGAAAGGAGAAAGGTTATGTGATTCAAGATACCACATTAGCCGCGAGTTCACCATTCGCTCTAGTAGCTTGCATAAGCAGCTAGTTAGAGCGATGGGGCGGTTATCTTGTGGATGGGTGCCCGATTTATTGGGTTTTAAGAATGGGAGAACGAGGTTTGGTTTTCGCTCCAGTTCCTGTCGTCCAAATTTGATTATATATATTTAGAAGAAAGGATAAAGAGGAGGATGGGAGATATCTGAGCATATGGTAGTGAATACCGTCAGGACCCTTATGGCTATTGTGACATGATCGTAAGGCAGTCTGTAATTCTTAAGAAGAAAAGGGAGTATTGTATGGCTCATCGGAAGAGATGGAAAATGTGATGGGAGTACGTTCTTTGGTGGTTTTAATGGAAGTGAAGTGTGGAGAAAGATGAGAGCCGCTATTAACTGAAATAATCACCTAGTCCATTAGCGACTTGGAGAGGATCAGATATGTGAGTATCTCGATTATGGAAGACTGGGGCTAGATGGGGAGGATGTTTGCCTGATATTTTGTGAATCCGTCGCCAGATAGCTGATGTAGATGTATATGTAATTGAGGAGACATATATATATCCAGCTATTTGTTTTGCTGTTTCGAATTGTACGTCGAAGGTGGGCAGACGCCTTTTAAAAGACGATAAGGGCGGACAGGTGGGTGGGAGTGTCTCGTTTATATCGGTAACTATTCCACCCAGCCCACTTTAGACGGAGCGCTTTAGTACTGTACAGTCTGAGTTCCACCATGAAATACATTTAGACGTATAAGGTCTAGTGGACTGTGTAGGCAGCTGTTAAGGCTGTTGTTGAAAACATTTGTAGTTTGAAATGGATGATAATGGAGATGGAACGAGAGGTATAGAAGCGAGTGAAGCAAACGTTTGCCAGTCAGCTCTATTGAAGCACTTCCTTGGGGGATTAGGAAGTGGGACATATGAAGTGGGAGTAAGGACGGACGGAAAGTGGTCGCTATAGGGGCAGTGGTCTAGAATTTACCAATGATAGTCTGATAGAGAGAAAGGGGAACATAAAGAGAGGTCAAGACATGAAAATGATTGTGTGCGCATGTCAAAATGTGTGAGGCGATCGGAATTGTGGATAATGAGGTCAGTTGTGGAGAGGAAGTGTTAAAGGGATCGACCATGGGATGTGGTGGTCGTATCACCCCAAAGAGTGTGACGGCAGTTGAAATCGCCTGTAATGATGAAAGGTGGCTGAAGTTGAGAAAGTAAAGTTTTGAAGGCGTTAATGTCAATAGGAAGAGAAGGGGAAAAGTAAACTGAAATAATCCATCGTTGGAGAAAGATGCAGATAATAGGGATAATGGTTTAGAAAGGTCTAGTGCATGGAGTTTTTTGAGGAATTAGTAATGAGTAGTAATGGTAGTTTGGTATCGGTACTGGAGTATGTGTTAGGAAGGATTCTTGAGGACAGATGATGTTGAGGATAGGCATAGGGGGAGTTGTGGATATTGGAGTATCCGGATTTAGAATGGAAATGGATTTGATTGGGAAATAGGGGTAGAGGTGGGAAGGTGAGGGGTAGGGGGAAGAGCTATTGTTGAGGATGTAGAGACAGTTTGGATACAGGGAGAGGAGTAGAATATTGGATAGTATTGGAGTCGGGTATGATCGAAAAACCTCGATGGAGTTTGTATCTGTGAACCGCCATTTCTGATTCAATTTTGTAGGTTGGGCAACTCCTTTAAAATACATTATGTGGGCCATTACACTTGGTACATGACAGTTTGCACGGCCATGACCAGGTTGGGCACATAGAGGGCATCGAGACATGGAGCGACAGTGCTTTGCAGGGTGGCCGAAACGCCAACATTTCTGGCATTGGCGCGGAGGTCGATATGGTCTGACTTGGTACGATTCCTTATAGAAAAGGTCATGTGTACGGAAGGTAATCTTGGCAATATTAGCCTTCCTGCAATATTAGCGTGGAGCTTTCGGTGACCTCTTGGTGGGATAGTGTAGCACTGTACTGATATTGCATCATAGTCATAAGGCAGTCAAATAGGTCTTCGCAGTCTGACCATTTCTTGTTACTGACGGGCATTATTTGGGGAATGAAAAGAGTTTCTGTATAAGCATTAAGGGAGAGGTGGGGTTGTACAGGGAGAGGTTTACCAGTGAGGTCAACCAGGGTAGATATTGCATGAGCTTAGAGACTCAGATGCAACTGTGACAGGGCGTGAACGATCAGGACGTCTGCGGAAGGAGACTTTGGCTACTTGTTTTTGCAGGCATTTTTGTCAGAGTACTGGGCTGTTAGAGGTTAATGGTTAAAAAGCAAAATAAATGTGCTAGACATCTAAGGTCATGTAGCACTATAGGAAAGTATATTAAAGGGGTGAAGGGTGATAGCTATGCGTCAGCTATCTATAGTAATCTTGAAAGGTTAAAGATGGGTAAAGGAATTGCTGTGTGAATGGGCTATGGTGAGTCTAGGTAAGGGAATTACGTAATGGTTTCACGTGTGTATCCAGGAGGGAGTGGAAATGATAGAAAAGGATGGATGGAGGGAGAATGTACGTGTAGTTGGAGTTGAGGGAGTGGTTACATTGGGAGGGAGTAGGAGTGGTGTAGGGGGGATATGAGTAGGAGGAGGAGTTGTGTTGGGAAGGAGGGGTGTAGGGGCAATATGGGTAGGAGGGGTATGGAATATCGGCAGTCACTTTTGAGTGTGGAGGGAGCATGAGGGGCGGTGTTGGGGCTGTAGTTGAGATTGGAGTGTCTGGGTTTAGAATGGCAAAAGAATTTGACTGGGGTAGGTAGAATGTAGAAGTGGAAGTAGGGAAGTAGATAGGTATAGGGCAGGGTTTAGGAACATCTTGAGGTGGAGAGGGAGGGGCAGAGCGAGCGACATAACTAGAGTAGGGAATATAAGAGAAACCTTGTCGGCGTGCTTCCTGTCTGGCTTTACGTAGAGTGCGACAATTTTTGTGTCTGAGTAGCTACCTCAGACTCAAACTTGTAAGTGGGACAGCTTCTATAAAATACTTTATTGGGACCACCGCAGTTAGCACATGTGCGTGTTTGTGCAGGGCAGTCTGATCGGTTATGACCAAGTTGGGCACATAGAGGGTATCGGTCTGTGGAGCGGCAGTGTTTGGCAGGATGTCCAAATCGCCAACAGTTTTGACATTGACGGGGAGGAGGTTGGTATGGTCGAACAGGGAGGGATTGTCCACCAATGTAGATACGAAAGGAAGGTCGTGTGTACTGACAGTATTTTTGGCAATGTTGGTGGGTTTCTTTCGATGGCCTCTAGGAGGAATGGAGTAGAAATGTACTGATATCACATCACGGTCTTTGAGGCAGCCGAGTAAGTATTCTCCACTATCTGACCAATCGATATCCATAGGCAGCTTACTGGAGAGATAGACACAGTTCCGGTACAAGTATTAAGAGTTGGATGAGGTTCTGCAGGAATGGGGTTGCCAAAAAGATCATTTAGATTTGTTAATGCTATAGCTTTGGTTTCAGATGTAACTGTAATGAGACGGGAACGATCGGGTCGGGTACGGAAAGGGACTGTTCACTTGCATTTGGAGGCATTGTTGAAAGAGAAGAGTGTTGCCTAAGGAGCAGTAGGGGGGATAACGAAAAATCGGTCCCATTTAGCTGGGCTAAATTGAGTACTTACGATATCTGTAGGGTTGTTGGTGGTAGAAAGATGGGGACGTGTGGAAGAGGGAGTGTTGCTGCGGGGGGTAATATTACGGAGAGATGGAGAATAAGGCTGTAAGGTAATAATAAGGGAGGATGGGGTGTTTGAAGAAGGTTGTAGGGCTAAAGGTGATGAAATTGGGAGAGTAAGAATGTCTTCTGGAGATTGAGTCTCGGCTTGGGTGGGTAATGCCCTAGTAGGCATTGAAGAGTGAGCAGTAGTTGTAGTGTTCAGAGTCGTGGTCAAAGGAGAGCCTGGGGTCGGGGAGCCAGGAGAGATTGAATTGGTGGGGCTATTTGATGAAGGGGCATGCCTCATTACCTCTAATATGGGAATTACATCTTCATTGCTGGCCATGGGAAGCCAATGTTGGGGAAATAAATAGTCCAACCTCCAGGGTCCCCTTGAGGTGTAAGGACTAGACAACTAAAACGGGAATACCGTGCCTATGGTTCCCTCAGGCCGTTCAGGACTGGCTCAAAGTCAGCTTTTCATCCTTTCAGCACGGCTCTTACACCTTAGGAAGTAGATAGTAGAAGGGATTGGAGAAGGGACGGAAACAAAACACTGGAAGGAGAAAAGGCCATGCAAAATTAGTTGAGTCGAAGGCTGAGGGCCTAGGCAGGGGAGATCCCTGCATTGGGTCTCAGTTTTCGTCTCCTAAGCCCCCCCCCCCCTGTAGGAGTAATCACAAAAAAACCTGGCTGGGTCAAACAGAGTATTCAAAAGGGTTGTAGAGTTGAGAAATGTAGAAGGATGAGGACAAGAGGAAGAGGGTATGGTGTGGTGTGGAAAGATGTAGTAGTGTGATGGGAGGGCAATACGGGTGAAGAGTTGTAACAAAGGAGAATGCAGAACATGGAGGTAGTTGAGTAGATGGGTTTAAGGATATTAGGGTTGAGGGAGGGGTGTCATCTGGAGGTTGCGTTATCTGGGTAGATGATTCAGGATGGGTTAAGTTGATAGTAGGTGTCATCAAGGGGGTGTAGAATCAGTTGTCGGAGCCGTGGTCAAAGGAGAGTCAGGGGTCGGTAAACCATAGGAGTCAGACTAGGGGGGACATCTGATAAAGGGGCAAGCCTCAATGCCCCTATTAGGGGTACAAAATCTTCATTACTGGCTATGGGAAGCCTGAAATAGGTGGGGATGATAAATGGTCCACCCCTCCGGGTCCCCATGAAGGGTAAGGGCTAGATAACTACCAAGGGAATACCGTACCCATGGCTCCCTGAGGCCGATCATGACTAGCAGAAAGTCAGCCTTTTATTTTTGTAACATGGCTCTCACATTTTAAAAATTAGACAGAAGGGTTAGGGAAGGTAAGGAAAAAAAAAGAAAGATGGAACAAAAAGGCCATGCAAAATTAGTTGAGCTGGGGGCTGAGGCCCATGGTAGGGGTGATCCCCTATATTGGCCCCCGTCCCCATCTCCTAAGCCCCCCATCACGACAACAATGGCCAAGGAATTTGGTGGAGGGGGTCCAAGGGAGAGGTGATCCCCCACATTGGGCCTCAGTCTTTGTCTCTTGAGCTCCCCTGTGACAAGCAATGGATTGGGGGTTCCTTATGAACAAATACTCAGTTATTTATAACAGAAAAATATAAGAGAAAGACAGTTATAATATATGTCTTTTTGGCAACTTACTTCAGATATGCAAGATGTACGTCCTATGCATATTTTCCCCATACTATCAGACATGCTTTTGTTTTTACATACCAAGAATTAAATTTATCACTCAGGGGAAATAAGGATGCATAAGGATTTACAATTTATTATAGAAGCAGTATGAATTTGTTTGAAGAAAGAGGTGAACTGAAAGTAGATTTATCAAAATATACCTACATTTACATTTGAGCATGTATATATATACATATGCATTTCTGTATTATTACACAATATTTCAATACATATTTACATATGTTATCTGTATGACCTGCAAAGAAACTAGTGGCAAAGACCATTTCTCTATACAAAGTTAAGGAAATGTCGACGTTTTTTAAATCATATCAATAAAGCTAATTCAATATTTCTCTAAAAAGATCAAATACATATAATCCTTTGGGCAAAGAAAAATAGAAGACTCAAAAAATTCTCTGTTCTTCCAAATCATGTTCATCTTATTTCTTTTCCTTCTTGTTATTTCCTCGGATCATCTTTTCCATCATTTCCCACATTTCTGGTGTCACTTGGCTTAGCATGTTGAACTGGCCGGCCATGTTGCGATATTCTCCTCCATCAAATCCAATAGACTGAAGAATAAAAGAGAAACATTTTTAAATCATAGTTTCTACATGGTTCAATTGCAAATATATAGAGTATGATAATAGCATCAACCGGCCAGACACTGATAACATTCTTTGGAGCACTAATTGATGAGCATAAAGCATCAGCCATCAAAATTCATCAAATCATGTACTTGCATAACTACAACATTACAGTCAAAACTACCTCTACTTACTACTACTACTACTACTACTATGTATTCCTACAAGCACTACCATTAACATTATCTATCAGTTGTCTCCCTTAAATATGAATTTCCAAACATGAACTTAATGATTATGGGCATGCATATATATACATATGCACAGGTTCCATATAGACAACATCCACCTGCCCACATTGATAAAGATGTTTTTATCAATCATTTATCAATATTAATCAATTTAATGCCAAGGTGTCAGTACCCAATATCCAGAATGAATAGATCACTTCACAATTTAGCCTTCATCAGAGCCTTGTCTTTGCTTGTGGTTTTTCGAATCCGTTTCTCCACATTATCCCACTGTTCTGATGACATATACATAAGACCGTTGAATTCTCCTGATGCCAACCGAAAACTGCCACCATCCAGTGCAATGGTCTGTAATATTTGGGTTGGTGTAATATCACTGCTATAACTCAAGAGGGAGGGTGTATTTTCAATGTCACATTTCCTGTTGGTACATGTAGCTGTACAGAAAATTCATTCAAATTGGGAATGTTGTAGAAATCTTATGTTCCATGGTAATAGGCTGCTTAGGAACAACATCATTGGTAATGGGTGTTCAGGAAAGCCAAGATGATTAAATGGTTCTAGTTTATAGTTTATATATCTAAGGAAACTACTCTATGATTATGAGACTATCTTGGACTGCTTCATAGCATAAGCAGCATGGGGTGACTAGGGATTTTCAGATACAAAATCAGGGCATGATCCCTACAATTATTTTATCAATTTATCATGTTCACAGGATGCACTGCAATATCTATCATATGATGGAGATTGTGTGGCTATAATGTACATGTGATGGGAAAGATTTTTGAACTGGTGCCCTACACTGTCCGTGTGAGAATAATCCAAAAAGAAGGAATACTTTACCATATCGTGTGGAAGCACTAAAAAGATACTTATGATTTTTAATATTTTCTTCGAGTGTACATGAACATAAGTGTTTTATTTCATGTCTTATTATTGATCAACTCTATTCACAACTTTCCATTTCAGCATGCAACTTACAATCTATGAATCTATAAATCAATGTCCGTTCTCTCAAAATACCTCTACCTATATACCTACCTGTTAAGTCTAATACACAAGTTACACTGTACATGCATTAACAAAGACTTACCTCTCCACTCAGCCAAGTAGAATAATCAGACACAAGGTAAGTTGCTAGGTTTGCCAACTCCTCCACTTCTCCTAAACGTCCAGCTGGGATGCGTTCATGTGCGATCTGGGTAAAAGATCCAGTTGGGTCCAGACGGCTGAATGCACCCTCTGTCTCAATAGGACCCGGGGCAATGCAGTTGAAACGTAACCCATAACGGCCCCACTCTGCTGCAAGTGACCTTCAGAAATAAAAACAACTTCATAGTTAAATTCATCCACGATATTCAAAGGTCTTAATATCTATTTTCCAATTACCACACACAACTCTACTTCACTTATAAGCTGATAGGAAGAGTCTTCAGACCTTGCAATTCTATTCATAACTGATAATTCTTTAGATTTTGTAAGTCTACTATTAAAAGACAATTTCTTGGGTTACCTATACATTTATATATAAATTACCTATACATTTCCAAGCTTGCCTTTCCTTGCCCAAATAGTCCTACAACCAAAATATTAATTTAAAAAATGAACATGAAGACTTACCTTGTCAGGTTTTCAACACCTGCTTTTGCTGATGCACTTGGGGATACAAAGCCAGAGCCACTTCTTGTGTATGTTGTTGTAATGGACAAAAATGCAGCACCTGAGGAGGAATTATGATCTGAATTTATATGCCTCTGAAATCACATTACAGAAAAATTTCTTCTTTAAAGGGCTCTCATGAAGACCTTGAACCCTACTTCTGCTTTCATGAAGATCTTGAACCCTACTTCTGCTTCAATGCTCTATTTTTCCTTTCGTTTTGTGATTTGAAAAAGAAAGAATTTCAATATTCAAAACTCTATTTGAAAAATAAGTAATAGTACACTTTATAATCGATACTTTATCATATTCTTTAGGCATTTACATGGGCCATGTGTAAGGGTAACTGAGTCATCTTTCCCTTTCCTCTATATGGAATTAATAAATTTTGTTGATCCTAATGACTATGACAGCAATAAATACTGTATCTGCATTTTAATATAACGGCAGGAAATGTTTCTATACCTTGGCCTGCACTGATAAGCCGCTTGCCAGCCTCTAGAGTCACGTAAGCTGTTCCATTGAGCACTATATCTGTAATGGTCCTCCAGGCATTGGCGCTGAGTCTCTCTGAGGGCTAAAAGAGAGTGGTAAATCATTATGGAAAATATTGCTGCAAATTGCTAGTCTTGCTTCACATTTCTTCCAAAGCAACAAAGCTTTATTATACATACATTATAGAAAGACTATGATATGGGAAGATATAATCACAGTGCAAGGTTTTGTATTTTAAAGTCTCTCAATTTCTTTGTTTTAAAACCCAAACACATAAAATGCAACTCACTGAAATGAAGTTGCCTGCAGCATTGTTAATGATTATGTTTGGGAGACCAAACTTGGCTTCACATGCATCAAAAGCAGCTTTGACTGCATCTGGATTGCGCACATCCATCTGCACAGGTAAAACTGGATTGCCTGTCTGGTTAGTGATTTCACCAGCTGTTGTTTCTAACAAAGGTAGTCGCCTGGAAAATAAAATACATAAAGAAGAAAAAACATTTGAGAGAGAGTATGCAAGACAAAAAGGGGTATTCCTATTACAAACACTTAATACTAAAGGCTGTATAAATCAACATTATTAATTCATAATTGCATCATGAAACTAGTAACGTGATTAAGAAATAAAGCCAAAAAGGAAGGTACAAGAAGCAAAACACCCCTGATCCATAAGGTGGAGGAAATTGCCATACTTTTCTGTTCTCACCTAGCAGCAATGACCACATTTGCACCAAGAGCACTCAACATGGTAGCCATTCCTTTGCCCAGGCCTGTGCCCCCTCCTGTGATGAAGGCAGTTTTGCCCTTGAAGGAATCCTTGGGTAACATGGGTGTCTTCACAACAGGGAAGTGCTTGGCCTGGGGTCCTTCTCCTTCCTTAGCCTGGGAACCTGCGGATGTGTGCAGGGTCCGAAGCCTCTGGAATAGAATGTGTATGACAGTGCTTTACTGCTTCAAGATCACTAATGCAAGATCACTTGATAACCTTTTGGAAGACACTGGATAACTCTTGTCCTTTTGAAATCTGAACAGGCAAAAGGAAATTCATGTGACACAAAATTGTTGTAACAGCAGTCTAATTCATGTGGCTACATAAGAGATGTCATTCCATTTATCAATTTTAGGCAGCATTAAAGACTGACACACCAATTTTCCCTTTCCTTTGCTCTAGACTGGCTCATCCCAAGGAAAAACAAGGATCATGAGCCACACGATGTTAAACAAGCCAAGCAATGAGGAATAAACGATATGGGGAAATAATTATGCCAGAGTCCTTGTCACTGACCATAATTTCATGAATTACACACATCAAATTCGATCCTGAATTTTGTGGAAAATGTCATTTTCAAAGAATCTAATTCAACATATATGTTATAAAAAAGATAATAAAGAACAATTTGTGAAATAAAAAATCACATAAGGATTAATTGTCATAATTGGTCCTTGGAAGTTACATATCTTTTCTAAATTTAACTTCATTATATCTTCCCTCTGTATTGAGGCCATTATCAGGTAACCACTTGA